CACATAAAAAACAAGTGTTCTTCACCCAAAGAGTAATTAACATGTGGAATTCACTGCCACAGGAAGTGGTGGCAGCTACAAGCATAGACAGCTTCAAGAGGGGATTGGATAAACATATGAAATAGAAGTCCATCTGTGGCTATTAGCCACAAGGTATAGATGGAACACTATGGCTGGGGTACTGATATTCTGTATTCTCGGTGCTTGAGGGACAACAGTGGGAGGGTTTCTGGAGTTCTGGCCCCGCTGGTGGACCTCAGCACCTGGGTTTGGGCCACTGTGTGACAGAGTGTTGGACTGGATGGGCCACTGGCCTGATCCAACATGGCTTCTCTTATGTTCTTCTGTGTCAAAAAGAAGGATTTTAAATCAGCATTTTCACTTGACGTGTTAATCTGTGTGTAGGAAACTTTTTCAAGAGGGAAGCTAGAAGACCAGTGGCACCTTTACGACCAACATGAAAGCTCACACCTTGAATTAAACTTTGTTGGTCTTAAAGGTGCCACTGGACTCTAACTTTGTTCTGTTGTTTCAGACCAACACGGCTACCCCACCTTGATTTTTCAAGGGGGACCATTCTGTGTTTTGAGATCTTATTTGCTGTCTGGAATGATACAGTTGAGAGATTGGTTCATCGATTCAGCTATTATTTGTAGAAAGAAAAAAACAAAAAAAACTAGACCTTAAGGAATGACTGTTTACAAGTTTGGCTTAATGGACGTTTAAGATCACTATTTATTTATTTATTACCATCAAGCCTCAACCGACCTATGGCAACCCCATAGAGTGTTCAAGACGAGAGACATTCAGAGTTGGTTTGCCATTCCCTGCCTCTGCACAGCAACTCATAAGAACATAAGAACATAAGAGATGCCAATGTTGGATCAGGCCAAAGGCCCATCCAGTCCAACACTCTGTATCACACAGTGGCCAGAAATACCAGTGCCATCAGGAGGTCCACCAGTGGGGCCAGGACATTAGAAGCCCTCCCACTGTTGACTCCCCCCCAAGCACCAAGATGACAGAGCATCACTTGCCCCAGAGTCCCTAGGGACTTCCTTGGTGGTCTCGCATCCAAGTCCTAACCAGAGCCAATCACTGTTCCCTCTAAGCTGAGTTAGTGTGAGCCAGCTCACAGTTTCTTAGCCTCCAGCTCACACATTTTTGTTTTAGCTCAGGAAGGAGGGCTACACAGCAAACCAATTTAATGCAGTAGCCAAATGGCTCGCTCACAACTTTAATGCCAGTAGCTTACCAAGTAGAATTTTTGCTCACATGACTCCACAGCTTAGAGGGAACACTGGAGCCAATCCTGCTTAGTTTTCAGCACCCAACAAGATCGGGCAAGCTTGGGCTATCCAAGTCAGGGCAACATTCTTACATCCGGTATAATTAAACCACTCACTGTTCACGGGTTTATATACAATCCTGTATCCCATTGTGGGCGACGGAGGGGCATCCCAGCTAATGCGCAATCTGTTGTACCATTCCTCAGAGACCCTCAGATTTCTCGGAGCAGACAGTGGCACTAAAAACGACAACCACCACCACCATGTAAATTAAATTCCGATCTGTGCAGATAGCTGCTTATACTTTGGCCACTTTAAAAAGAGAATGTTTGTACTCACAGGTTTTTCCTGGGACTGACAAACTGACACCTTCCCCATCGGAATAGATGGGAGTGACTGTAACTTTATATTCTGTGTCCGAGAGCAGGGGCTGGAGAAGCAAACTGTTTTGCCTCGCAGGCACCATTACCTGGATAGGGAAAACATCAAACATCATGAGAGCCAGTGTGGTACAGTGGTTAAGTGCGCGGACTCTAATCTGGGAGAAGCGGGTTTGATTCCCCACTCCTCCACTTGCACCTGGCTAGGTGGCCTTGGGCAAGCCGTAGTTCTGATAAGAGCTGTTCTTGAAAAAAGAGCAGTTTCTGTCAAGAGCTCTCTCAGCCCCACCTACCTCACAGGGTGTCTGTTGTGGGGAGGGGAAGGGAAAGGAGTTTGTAAGCCGCTCTGAGACACCTTTGGGTAGTGAAGGGAAGTATAAATCTTCTCTTCCTCTTCTTCTCTTCAAACACAAGCAAGATTGATGATCAGTTTCTCCACCATGCCTCAGATTAGCTTCTGTACCCGGCTTCTGTGCAAGTGCATCTCTGAGTATCCGGGCCCACCTCACAGGTGATTTTTTGTTCTACACAGGCAGAAGTTGTGCAGGGGTGTGTGTGTGGGAAGTATACATCCACATATGGAATTCCATGTAAAGATTTTTCACATTTTACCACATCTGCATGCGTTTCAAGTTATTTGTGTGCCACGGCTCCTAAACTACCTGTGTGATTTTAGCACATTCTATCATTGTTTGTGTGGTAATTTTGTTTTGTTTTGCCCTCAAGTCACAGCTCACTTATGGTGAATCCTGTGGGGTTTTCAAGGCTAGAGATGTTGAGAGGTGGTTTGCCATTGCCTGCCTCTGCATTGCAACCCTGGTATTCCTTGGTTGTCTCCAGTGTTCCCTCTAAGATGAGTCAGTGTGAGCTAGCTCAGTTTTTTAGCCTCCGGCTCACACATTTTTGTCTTAGCTCTGGAAGGAGGGCTCCAGAGCAAACTAATTTATGCAGTAGCCAAATCGCTCGCTCACAAATTTATTGCCAGTGGCTCACAAAGTAGAATTTTTGCTCACAAGATTCCACAGCTTAGAGGGAGCACTGGTTCTCTCCCATCCGAATACTGACCAGCAATGTTCCCTCTAAGCTGTGGAGTCTTGTGAGCAAAAATTCTACTTTGTGAGCTACTGGCATTAAAGTTGTGAGTGAACAGTTTGGCTACTGCATGAATTAGTTTGCTCTGGAGCCACCCATTCTGAGCTAAGAAAAAAATGTGTGAGCTGGAGGCTAAAAAACTGTGAGCTAGCTCACACTAACTCAGCTTAGAGGGAAGAATGCTGACCAGTACTGACCCTGCTTAGCTTCTGAGATCTGACAAGATCAGGCCAGCCCGGAGTATTTAGGTCAGAGCAGTAAAATATTTACACCCTACCCCCCGAACTGATATTTGCTCAGAGATTTCAACTTTGGTATTACAATCAAAATGCAAAACAATAACATAAATCCAAAAGTTAATCCTAAATGAAATAACCACAGAGTAGCAGAACCAACCAAATGCAGAAGAGAACAAAGAAGATCCTTGCTTGGTGCTTCGACAGGAAATGTCTCAAGAGAATCTGCCTGTGAAGGGTGTTCCACATGTTCAGCATCATGAGAAAAGGCTCCCTGCCTGCTCGCCAGACCTCCAATAGTGAAGGCGCTGACAGAAGAGACTTAAATAAAGATCTACTTGTACAGGCAGGTCCATGCTTCTTTTCCCACATGTACGTGTATAGGAGAAGTAAGAAAAATATCATTTATCAAGCCGCCTGTCAGACAGAGGAAGGGCTGTGGCTCAGTGGAAGTGCTGGCAGAGTAACTGACAGAGCACAGGTGTATAACCTGATTAAAGTGTAGAGAAAGGTCCATTCAGGAACTAACATACTTGATAGTAAAAGAGGAAAGACAGAGATAGGGTCCTAATGACATCACAAACTGAGACACAAAGTGTGGAACTTCCAAGAAGAAGGAAGATATTGCCCTAAGAGTAGCAATCTGGAGACAGAAGGAATGGCACTTAACAGGAGAGAAGGTGCTGGCCTCACTATCCTATCTAATTGTCTTCTTGCTGCCCCCTGCAGGGTCTTCTTCTCTTCTTCTTTGTACACCAGACATTGCCTGTTCCAACAGGAAGAGCCTCTCCTTTGCATGCAGAAGGGCTCAGGTTCAATCCCCACCAACTCCGGTCAAAATGACCAGCTAGTAGGTGATGTGAAAGACCTCCATCTGAGACCCCGGAGAGCCACTGCCAGCTTAAGTACATGATACTGACCTTGACAGACCAATGGTCTGATTTGGTATAAGGCAGCTTCATGCGTGTTCATGTGTATCCTCAGGGCTCTTTTTTTTAGAAAAAGCCCAGCAGGAACTCATTAGCACCCCTGATGACACAGCTCATTAGCATATTAGGCCACACCCCCATGTTACCAGAAGTGAAGTCATCCAGCCACACCCACCTTTTGCTTCTTATTCTATTTACCCTGTTTGTTGTCAAAACCCAGGGCTTTTTTTGGAGCAGGAACTCCTTTGCATGTTAGGCCACACACCCCTAATGTAGCCAATCCTAATAAGTCCCTGCTGTTGGGTGTGGCCTATTATGCTAATGAGTTCCTGCTGGGCGTGGCCAACTCAGGAACCAGCCGGAACTCCGTTCCTGTGCGTTCCTGCCCCAAAATAGCCCTGTGTATCCTTATGCTACGCTACACATTTCTGTCAGTTTTATTTTAGTTTAGTTTCTTTTCAAAGATCTCGGAAAAGTCGTTTCATGACACTCCTGGCACCATTGAAAGAACTGCTATCCCTGGAGAGAGGGAACGGCTATTAAGTGTATTTATTTAGAAAATGTATATGCCACCTCCTCTCCAGAGACCTGCTTCAGGCAGCTCGCAGTTAAGTACATTGAATATGTAGCGGTGATATCCTTTTGTGTCTAATGGATTTCTTCATTTTGCCCCCCCCCCTCCTCCTACACCCTGCGTATCTGCAGGAGACAGAAGACTTCTCTCAGCAGTAATCAATGGCATGGACTCCTTTCCACTTGGAAGGGGAGGGGCTTTTAAAAAACATTAAGTTTTTCTTTAGTCTGCACACATTCCTTAATAATATGATGAATATGCTGGATGGGCCGACAGGGTTCAAAATCAGAAAACAGAGACTGAAGTTGAGAATGGGGGTCTAGATCGATTGACCATCTACAGTCAGATTTTAAGATGAAGATGTAACTGAAAAACTGGGTAAAAATGGGAGGCAGTGAATGAGACCCAGTCAGCTTTTTGTTCAACCTCCCTTCCTTACCACAGCCCCTTATCTGTGTCTAAGGAAGCCCCATGATTGCCAGCATAGCACAATGAACAAACATGAAGCTGCCGTATACTGAATCAGACCATGAGTCCATCTAGGTCAATATTGTCTACTCGGACTGGCTATGTGTCTCCAGCATCTGGGGCAGTGGTCCTTCACATCACCCACCACCACAACTTTTTATCTGGAAAAATATTGAACCTGGTGTTGGAAATGTATGTGTTTACAAGGTCTGGCAATTCAGTCATTATAGGGTTAACTTGTTTTCCTAGTATTGCTATTGTTTAGACCGACCTGGAAGGGATACCTGGCACTGAGCCAATGGGGAATTAGCCCGGGAAAAGTAGCTTTCTACTGTGATACAGATTGGTCATTTGTTTCAGGTGACTTCCTTTCTAGGGGTCAAGAAGAAGGAGAGTTTCTCCATTATCTGTGTGCTAGGTTTGACTATAGGCAGCTTAGAAAATGTAGCTGTTAGTGTTATGTTTATTTGTAGTAATCCCGTATACCTTTTACCCTTAGAAATAAAGGTTTTTAAAAGCAAAGAAATCTCTTCTTTCCAATAGAGCAAGATCCATTAATAGTCTGAGTATTAAACACTTTTGACTATTTTACACCTGGGACTTTCTGCATGCCAAGCAGATGCTCTGCCACTGAACTGCAGCCCCTCCCCCTTTTGGGGTGATCAAAAGGAACCCCTCCTCCTTTTTTCACCAGTAGAAAAGCTGGTTGGAGCCAACCCAGTTGCTGGGATGAGTGGCCCCTGTGAGACTTAGACCCTAAATATCTGTGATGAATAAAAACAGCTGTAGAACCATAGAGTCATAGAGTTGGAAGGGACCTCCAGGGTCATCTAGTCCAACCCCCTGGACAATGCAGGAAACTCACAAATACCCCCCCCCAACCCCCAGTGCCCATCGTTCCATGTCCAGTTGTCCAGAAGATGACAAAAAACCTCCAGGATCTCCAGCCAAACTGGCCTGGAGAAAAATTGCTTCCAGACCCCAAAGTGGTGATCCGCATTACCCTGCCCTCCTTCTCATGATCTGCCTAAGTGCACACCATTGCTGACAGATGGCCATCTAGCCTCTGTTTGAAAACTTTGAAAGAACGAGAGCCCACCACCTCCTGAGGAAGCCTGTTCCACTGAGGAACTGCTCTGTCAGGAAGTTCTCCCTAATGTTTTGCTGAAAACTCTTCTGATGTAATTTCAACCCGTTGGTTCTGGTCCGACCTTCTGGGGCAACAGAAAACAACTCCATACTATCCTCTATATGACAGCCCTTCAAGTACTTGAAGATGGTTACCATATCACCTCTCAGTCGTCTCCTCTCCATGCCCAGCTCCTTCAGTCTTTCCTCATAGGACTTTGTCTCCAGACCCCCCTGAGGAAAGGCTGAAGGAACTGGGTATGTTTAGCCTGGAGAGGAGACGACTGAGAGGTGATATGATAACTGTCTCCAAGTACTTTAGTGGAAACACTGTTTGCAATTACAAACAATTTTTAGGAATGGGATATTCAACCATCAGAACAGGGATGTTCATATTGTGTTCCAAAGTAGCACAGGGGGTTCTTTGAAATCTTCTCAAGGATACATAGATGAAAAGTTCAATAATGGTGTATGTGGGATTCCAGGAAAGAGTACATGTTCTCCGTTATCAGTCTTCCCTTTCAATGCAGAGCCATAGGTAACTGAAGATGGGTAGCCGTGTTGTTCCGTCTAGCGCTAAGTCGGAAGTCAACAGCGCCTTCTGGACGTGATCAACACACAGCCAGAACAAAGTAGAATTAAATCACTTTGTATTAAATTCCATATGCATTCAGAAGATGTCCTTACTTACAGTCAATCAGGGTGAATAACTGGTGAAGTTCACATCTTTTGTAATCGAATTCAGTTCACTGGCTCATGGTGAAAAGGATTGGGCGTTCCCATCTCCTTGCCGTTTAAAGAGCACAAAGGCCACGGGAAGAGAGCTGTAAAACTCAAATCCTCGCGCGTCTGTGTGCCGGATGCTGTGGGATGTCTAACTAAAGACTTCAATTCCCAGGGACCACTGCTCTTAAAGATATATGGCAGTTCTACTTAACTACAGTTTAAAACACTGGCTGGGGCAGCACACGAGTCCAGTAGCATTTTAAGACTAGCAACATTTGTGACAGGGAATGAGCTTTTGTGAGTTTTATCTGAAGCAGTGAGTAGTGACTCACGAAAGCTCATACCCTGCCACATATTTTGTTAGTCTTTAAGGTGCTCCTGGACTCTTGCTCTTTTCTGTAGGTAACTGGAAACAGCCTTCATGAGCCTAATCCCTGTTTGGTTGGGGGTTACAGTGAAGTCAAACACGTCAAAGAAGCAGAGCCAGTATCCGGTACCATCTGGATGAGCGCTCTACAGCATGTCCTAGAATCCTCTGCATTCAGAAGGGATTTCGTGGCAGATGCTGGAGGATTCTCTGGCAGTCAGGGCCAATGTGGAAAGTGTCCGCCAAAAGCAGTGAAAAGCCCCAGCTTTCCAAGATGACTAGAGCACAGAGTAGGACTGTATGGGAAGCGGCTGCCAAAGGAAGAAACAAAGCTCCAGCTTTCCGCATTTTTATGGAACTGATATTCAGTTAATGTCATTAATTTAAATGCTTGGCCCCCACGTATTGCCAACTGCAGAAAAGCTACAGCTGCTCAGCATTTCTTACAGATTAGCTGAGCTAGCAATATTGCACACCAAGAGCACAGCAGCAATTTTGAAACGACAAACACACAGCGAGTGCACAATGCCACGAAGTCACATTCTCTAGAAGCACATCAGATTTCATCTTACAAAGGGCTATGGTCGTTTGTGTCCGTCCCCAACTGCAAACAATATACTTCCACTATTCACAAAAGCTATACAGCAGAAGAAGAGCCAGTGTGGCGTAGTGGTTAAGAGTGCTGGACTAGTATCTGGGAGACCCAGGTCCGAATCCCCACTTGTACCAGAAGCTCGCTGGGTGACCTTGGGCCAGTCACACTCTCTCAGCCTAACCTACCTCACAGGGTCGTTGTGAGGATAGAACACAGGAGAGGAGAACAATGGGTCCCCTCTGGAGAGAAAGGCAAGGTACAAATGACTTAAATAAAATCTCTAAGGTCCAGTCCTCATGGAGATGGCAAACCTGTCTCCGGGCTGTACAACTTCAGGCTGCAGATAGAGTTCCTTAAAAGAGGCACGGTCATACTCAAAAAGTAAAAGCTATTGATTGTACAAGGAAAATGAGGAATTGATGTGGTATTTAAAGAGGCAGAAGGAACCAGAGAACTTCTAAAAACTGGCAGAATGTATCCATCTATAAACATTTCTACGCTGTCTGGTGCCAGAGATTAATCCAGGCAGGGCACACGTGTACTCAGATCTCTTTGCTTAAGGCGTTTCAAAATTGAAGCAGGCAAGAAATGTGGAGCGGGGGAAACCCTAGAATGCTTTTTTTTAATCCTGAGGTCAGCTATGAACACCTCAGCAGACTCCCATGAAATATCTTCTCACTTGGAATGGCTCTGACCCTCTCTGCGGCCTTGTCCCTATTCAGACTTTCTGCCCTTTGTTGATCCAACTCTCCACGAAGCAAAGGTCTCTTGACTTTTAGCGTGACTCTGTCCGTTCTCCCGGGGCGTGGAAACGCTCTCTTAAGTCGAAGCAGTTTCTCTCTTTGTCTGCCTCCGAATCCCTCCTCAAACTAATAATGTAGCATCTTTTTATCACACGCACACCCTTTCTCCAAGATGGGCAGGGCAGTGATTTGGTTCTCCCTTCTCCCCATAGTAACCCTGTTGAGGTAACAAAACAAAGTTTGAGTCCAGTGGCGGCTTTAAGACCAACATGAAAGCTTATACCCTGAATTAAACTTTGTTGGTCTTAAAGGTGCCAGTGGACTCAAACTTTGTTCTACTGCTTCAGACCAACATGGCTACCCACCTGTTTTTCTTGGGGGGGGCAACAGTGGGAGGGCTTCTGGGGTTCTGGCCCCACTGGTGGGCCTCCTGATGGCACCTAGTTTTTTTGGCCACTGTGTGACACAGAGTGTTGGACTGGATGGGCCTTTGGCCTGATCCAACACTGGCTTCTCTTATGTTCTTATGTTTTTAACCTGTTGAGGTAGGTTAGGCTGAAAGACTAAGTCTCACAGAGGCCACTCATCCCAGCAACTGGGTTGGCTCCAACCAGCTTTTCTACTGGTGAAAAAAGGAGGAGGGGTTCCTTTTGATCACCCCAAAAGGAGAAGGGACTGCAGTTCAGTGGCAGAGAATCTGCTTGGCATGCAGAAAGTCCCAGGTTCAATACCACTCCAGATAAAAAGATGTGGTGTTCCCTTCCAACTCTATGATTCCATGATTCTATGTCAGAATACATAAGACAAATTGTGCTAAGTTCATTTTCCTTGTCTCTTACACGCTGCTGCAGGAACCCTTTTTTTTGGGGGGGGGGAACTGAGTAATGAGGAACTAGAGATCAAATTGCCAACATTCGCTGGATTATGGAGAAAGCAAGAGAGTACCAGAAAAACATCTACTTCTGCTTCATTGACTATGCTAAAGCCTTTGACTGTGTGGATCACAACAAACTATGGCAGGTCCTTAAAGAGATGGGAGTACCAGACCACCTCACATGTCTCTTGAGAAACCTGTATAAGGGCCAAGAAGCGACAGTTAGAACCGGATATGGAACAACTGATTGGTTTAGCATAGGAAAAGGAGTACGACAAGGATGTATATTGTCACCTTGCTTATTTAATATATATGCAGAGTACATCATGCGAAATGCTGGCCTGGATGAATCACAAGCGGGAATTAAGATTGCTGGGGAAAAGATCAACAACCTCAGATATGCAGATGATACTTCTCTAATGGCAGAAAGTGAAGAGGACCTAAAGAGCCTCTTGCTCAGAGTAAAAGAGGAGAGCGCAAAACTGGGCTTGAAGCTCAACATCAAAAAAACTAAGATCATGGCATCCGGCCCCATCACTCCTTGGCAAATAGAAGGGGAAGTCGTGGAAGTGGTGACAGACTTCACGTTCCTGGGATCCCAGATCACCGCAGACTGTGACAGCAGCCATGAAATTAAAAGACGCCTGCTCCTTGGGAGGAAAGCGATGGCGAATCTAAACAGCATGATAAAAAGTAGAGACATCACCCTGCCAACAAAAGTCCGCATGGTCAAAGCAATGGTATTCCCAGTAGTCGTGTATGGCTGCGAGAGTTGGACTATAAGGAAGGCCGAGCGCCGAAGAATAGATTCTTTTGAACTATGGTGCTGGAGAAGACTCTTGAGAGTCCCTTGGACTGCAAGAAGATCAAATCAGTCAATCCTAAAAGAAATCAACCCTGACTGTTCCCTGGAAGGCCAGATAATGAAACTGAAGCTCAAATACTTTGGCCACCCAATGAGAAGGGAGCACTCCCTGGAGAAGACCCTGATGCTGGGAAAGATTGAAGGTCAAAGAAGACGGGGACGGCAAAGGATGAGATGGTTAGACAGTGTCAGTGACGCAACGAACATGAAATTGAGCCAACTTCAGAGGACGGCGGAGGACAGGAGGGCCTGGCGGGAGCTGGTCCATGGGGTCGTGAAGAGTCGGACTCGACTGTGCGACTGAACAACAACAACAACAACTGAGTAAAGCTCCATGTACACTGTATTAATCAACTGTACAACAACAGCAATAGCAATGAGCAAACAAAATTATGCACAAGTTGTAGCTTCAGGTGACCATGGCTACAACAATGAGTCAGAATGAGCTTTGGCATGGAACTTCCCAACTTAGCCATACAAAATTCATACCAACCGTTCTTACCGCTTCCTCAGCACGGTCGCCGACAGCAGTAAGGTATGCCACCCTGAACTGGCGGACGCCATAGTCCAAAATATCCCATTTCACCCTCAAGCTTGACGTAGTTTCATCATCTATAGCAAGATTTCTAATTCCCGTTCGAAAGACTGAAATGATATTAAACGCGTACCGTCAGTCCTTACTCAAAACTTATCTTCTGAAGCATATCAGTTATATTATTTTTTTGTACAAAAACAGCTAACACAACAGTCATTAAGCCTCAGTAATTTGTAAAACATAAGAAAAACTAGTGTTTGCTCACAGTAAAACCAAGCAAAGATATGTATCTTGCTGGATTTTTCCTACATTTTTCATACCTGCAGTTGTAGGTCGGGAAGTCGTGGTACTCGTGGTGGTTGTAGTGGTCAGTTCAGTAGTAATCCTGTCAACTGAAAAACAACATGATATAAAAGCCTTTATCTATGCTACAAATTTCAGTATCTATGAACTGTGGAAATATGGGACTAATTTAAGAACTCCCTAGGTTGCTGGGAGGTGCACTTTCTTTGTTTTGTTTGAACAGAGGAACACACACAAAGCTGCCTTACGCCGAATCAGACCTTTTGGCCCGTCAAGGTCAATACCAGCTACTCAGACTGGCAGTGGTTCTCCAGGGTCTCAGGCTGAGGTCTTTCACATCACCTCCTGCCTGGTACTTTTAGCGGGAGCTGGCAGGGATTGAATTTGGGACCTCCTGCTGCATGCCATTTCATGAAAAGCTTAATATTTTCATTAACTTTGTTACTACAATCATTTACATTTCCAATAGTTTCAGCAGGGCTATTTTTGGGCAGGAACGCACAGGAACGGAGTTTCGGCTGGCTCCTGAGTTGGCCACGCCCAGCAGGAACTCATTAGCATAATAGGCCACACCCAACAGCAGAAACTCATTAGGACTGGCTACATTAGGGGTGTGTGGCCTGTTATGCAAAGGAGTTCCTGCTACAAGAAAAGCCCTGGCCGTTTTGACAACAAACAAGGGAAAACAGAATAAGAAGGGGAAAATGGGTGTGGCTGGATGACCACACTTCTGGTAACATGAGGGTGTGGCCTAATGTGCTAATGAGCGGTACTGTCAGGGTGTGGCCTAATATGCTAATGAGTTTTGCTGTTGGGTGTGTCCTATTATGCTAATGAGTTCCTGCTGGGCTTTTTCTACAAAAAGAGCCCTGACTGTTTCCAATAAAACTTGTATATCAGTGTTATACCTCCTGCTCTTTTCTGACTCTCTTCCCCTTCCCTCTGACCTTCTCTTCATCTTTTTCTGTCGCGAGATCTGTTTGAGTTGATGGGAACACTCTGATGTCACTTTCATATATCCTAATCGCTTCCCTGACAGTAGCCCCCTCCTTCTTACTTAGGGTTGCCAACCTCCAGGTGGGGGCTGGAGATCTCCCAGAATTACAGTTGACCTCCGTGTTACAGAGATTGGTTCCCCTGGAGAAAATGTCTGTTTTGGAAGGTGGACTCTATGGCATTATAACCCTGCTGAAGTCCCTCCACTCCCCAAGATCCACCCCACCAAAAAATCTTCAGACATTTTCCAAGCCAGAGCTGGCAACACTATTCTGACTTCCTTGACCATTTAAAATCTTTAACCAGAAGGTCAGGTTCCAGGGGAGCGACAGAAACAAGTGACACTGGTTCATTTGCTGCTGTTCCCATTCATCCATACTCTAATATGTGGAGCTTCTTCAGTTACTTCTTTAATTTCTTTTGAAACAATTGCACATACATGTTGTCGTGCTCAGGGTTACCCCCGGGGCCCTTTAAACCCTGTTGCCGTGTTGAGGAGATAATTAGGAAAGGAAACAAGCACCTCAGATGTGAAAGGGATGGGTGTTGCCTCACACTCCAGGCCCCTTTCTCAGAGTAATCGCCGTTTTGCTCTCTCTCTGTCTTGCCAGTGCGATTATCTCTGAAATCCTCCCCGGCACTTTCCGTTTCCTTCCTTTTATCCTCCTCCCCACCTTGCAGACCCACCCATCAGAGCCCATAGGCTATTTCATCTGTCTCTGTCTCCGTTCCCCAAATCCCTGAGGGTTTCCCTGTTTTGCCCCGCCTCCCTTCAAATCCCCGTGGAGTTGTGCATTCAGGGGAGTGTCTACTTCCGCCTCGGACGCTGTGCCTGTCGCCTGTTGCCACTTTCATTCCGGGGGTGAGAGGTAAGGCAGGGACCCTCCAATCTCCTCTGTCTTTTACCTGGGTCCTCCCCCCTTGAGCCAAAGGAGCGTTTTCCGTGCTGGACCGCCCCTTCTCCCCTGAGTTCCCTCAGCGTCTCAGCTGTCGCTGAGGGAATAGGTTGGGGACGCTCGCGTCTCCAGGACTGCCCCCCCCCAGTCCGTCCACCTCCTGGCATTAGTACGGAGCCCAGCGTGGACCGCGCCAGTCCCACCGCAGCGGCCTGTGAGGCCACAGAGAAGCCCGCGGCGGGACACATGTAAAGCGTTGTCAAGTCACAGCCAATTTATGGTGACCCCAGCAAGGGACTTTCAAGGCAAATGAGAGGCAGAGGTCGTTTGCCATTGCCTTCCTCTGTGGTCTTCCTTGGAGGTCTCCCACCCAAGTACTAGCCAGGGCTGACCCTGATTAGCTCCCGAGATCTGATGAGATCAGGCTGTACCATGCCGCCTTTCTTCCCTGCACACACACAGTCAGGACTGAATAATATGGCACTCTCAACGTAAGTATTGCCAAGGAGTACCTCTGCAACATGCACCGTAGAAATAGGTAAAAACGCCCCATGCAGTGGTCAAGTGCATCTCCTTCACCACTAAGAAACTAAAGAGAGTCCTTAAACACCAGGGAGCAGAATGAAGAGCCCTTACAGAATGGAGAGTGCTGTTTCCAAGCAGACTTTACCCTACCAACCGTTTCTCCTGGGAATCAATGTGATGAACTAGGAAGGTAAAATGGCTCAGAAGCAAGCCAAACTTGGTGGTTTCTGAGGCATTTAAAAAAAATGAATCATTAGACTTCGATTATTGGCACTACAAGCCAGCATTATAGGGGCCGCCCAGCTCAGACTGGGCTAGTGGCACCAATGATGATTGTCTGCATACCTGTTGCCTCCTCCTGCAGAGGCAGTGGCGAAGCGAACACCCCTGGTTTGTGCTGCTGGCCAGGTATGAGCAGAACGGTCCCTGCAGTGCTGGCAGAACTGTTGGAAGTGAAGGATTGGTCACCGTCCCCTGCCTGAGCCTCCAGACTTTGTGGCAAAAGAGTCAGATAGCCAGAGAGGCAATCCCTACGTTTTCTTCCTGTGTTTACTCTTCTGCCACTGTCCCCTTTGAAATGTAGACCGCATTCTCAGGGACAACGTCTTTCCTTCCGCTCACTCTCTCCCAGAACTCTCATCTCTCTGCACACAGGCTGTCCTTATCCGGGCACCATGATCCAGATGGAACACACAGTAACAGCGTTCCGGCTGGCTCCCAAGTTGGCCACGCCCAGCAGGAACTCATTAGCATTATAGGCCACACCCAACAGCAGAAATTCATTAGGATTGGCTACAGTAGGGGTGTGTGGCCTAACATGCAAAGGAGTTCCTGCTACAAAAAAAGCCCTGGGTTTTGACAACAAACAAGGTAAACAGAATAACAAGCAAAAGGTGGGTGTGGCTGGATGACCACACTTCTGGTAACATGGGGGTGCGGCCTAATGTGCTAATGAGCTGTGCTGTCAGGGGTGTGGCCTAATATGCTAATGTGTTTCTGCTGTTGGGTGTGGCTTATTATGCGAATGAGTTCCTGCTGGGCTTTTTCTACAAAAAGAGCCCTGCGAGATGTCCATGTGTAGTTAGTTAGACTAGAACACTATCTTACCTCTAAGCTTTCCTATCCAGATTGTAGTTCTAGAACAAAGTGACTAGCATTAGTCCTAAACTTGCAACGTGGCTCTGTGTAGCTTTGTAACCTGGGGGGAAAGACGCTCCTGCATTAGTAGCTCTATTTAAAGCACTCTGCTAACAGTTAACCCAATAAGAACTATTGAGGCTTGGGTACACTTGCTCCTGACCGTCAGTGGTCCTGCAGGATAACAGCCCGTCAGGAACCACAGGGCTGGTTGGGGGGGGGAATTCCCAGGACCCCCGTCCCTCTCTGCCCATCACCAGCCCCCCACTCACGCCTGCCTTCCTCTTGCATGTCCCCTACCTGTCAGTGCATCCTCCCACCACCTGCCCTTAAAGCGAACCTCATCGCCAACAGCTGGGGATGCTGTTGGTGGAGTACTTACAAGTGAGCGGGGGGGGGGTGATGTTGCACAGGCAAGTGGCAGGGGGAGGTGAGCTGGTGTGGGGATGCCCATCACCAGCCCCCCACTCACGCCTGCCTTCCTCTGGCATGTCCCCTACCTGTCAGTGCATCCTCCCACCACCTGCCCTTAAAGCGAACCTCATCGCCACCAGCTGAGGATGCTGTTGGTGGAGCACTTACAAGTGAGCGGGTGGGGGGGGGTTGATGTTGCACAGGCAAGTGGCAGGGGGTGGTGAGCTGCTGTGGGGATGGTGGCAGTGGTCCTCACTGGGGCCTGGCAGCTGCCCCACCTCAGAGTACGCTGATGCCAGCCCTACGCTCAAGAATTGACCTTTAGGAGGGATGCTGTAACACAGTTTGTCTTACGTGTGGTCCCGAGAATAGCGATAACGTCGCTTTCGCTCTCATCATCAAAGAGCGCCACCAAAGACACCTCGTACTCCGTGCCGGGTACCAGGCCTTCAATCTCATAGGTGTCCATCTCTCCACTTAAGACGATCTTAAGCAAACAGAAGATGTAAAGATGGGTTATCAGGGGGGGGGCCCCTGCTCGATTAGAATTAGAAGCGAATTGGAATATAAAAGAGAGAGAATTACAGAACTTAAATGTTACGAGTGTGCCGCCAGCCCAATGACTCGCAAACCATTTGCTTACTCCAAAGACATTAACCATGAGCAGTTCTCTGAGAACTTAAAAAGTAATCAGTGCAACTGAATCCTGGAAGGCAAACTTCCTTAAGTAAACAGCGGATAGTAAATGGCTTCGCCTACATAATTCATTCATTGAGCTTACAAAACAGCTTGTATTCAATTTTTGATTTTTTTTTCTGTAACCACAGTTCAAAAAAAAAAAAGGAAGAAAGGAAGAAAGAAGGCTAGGAGGAAAAGCTGTTTCAAATAAACTACTTCCCTTCTACCAAAGCTATCACATCCAGGAATAGCTCCAGAGCCCCACCCTGCCCGTGGAAAGTTTCAGTCCCAAAGCAGTTCTTCCTAGTGCTTCTGGTATTGCTTCTGCCAATACTAACATACAGCACAGATGGCTTTGTCTTGAAGGGTGTAGGGATTCAGTGCGTACAGAGCCAGTGAGTATGGTGGTCCACGTGTTGGACTCGGATCCGGGAGACCCGGGTTTAAATCCCTACTCTGCCATGGAGGCTTACTGAGTGACCTTTGGCTAGCCACTCTCAGCCTAACCTACCTCACAGGACTGTTGTTGCTAGGAGAAAAAACTAAGGAGGCAAAAATGATGGTGTAAGCTACTTTGGGTCACTATTGGGGAGAAAAGTGAGATATAGGGTTTGTTTGTTTTTTTAAAGCGACACTGCTATTTATTCTGTGCTACATAATAACCAATGACAACTTCCACACGGAGGCAAAAATGATGGTGTAAGCTACTTTGGGTCACTATTGGGGAGAAAAGTGAGATATTGGGGGGGGGGGGTTTAAAGTGACGCTGCTATTTATTCCGTGCAACATAATAACCAATGACAACTTCCACACCAAGAGTTTTGTGGGACTCTTAAGGGTGCTTTCACAAACACTAAATAATGCACTTTCAATCCGCTTCGCAACTGGATTTAACTGCGTGAAATGGCAAGGTTGCAAATGGTTGCTGAGGTGGATTGAAACTGTGTTATCCAGCATGTGTGAAAATGCCCTTTGTATTTATGAAGCCCAGACTCAGGACATAAGCCCTCCTAACGCGTCTTTGTCTTTCCTTCGTTCTTTGTCTTTAGTTTTCTTAAAGGTAAAGGTAAAGGTTCCCTTGCTCGAAAGCCAGTCGAGTCCGACTCTAGGGTTGCGGTGCTCATCTCCGTTTCAAAGCCGAAGAGCCAGCGCTGTCCGAAGACGTTTCCGTGGTCATGTGGCCGGCATGACTAAACACCAAGGTGCACGGAACGCTGTTACCTTCCCACCGAAGTGGTACCTATTTATCTACTTGCAATTTCTTGCTTTCGAACTGCTAGGTTGGCAGGAGCTGGAACTAGAGACAGGAGCTCACTCTGTCATGCGGCAACTCGGGTCTCGAACTGCTGAACTACCGACCTTCCACAGCCTGCAGTTCAGCGTCTTAACCACTTGAGCCACCGCAGCTTAGTTTTCTTACAGCCTGTGTAAAAAAAGGCAGGAAGGCTGCTGGAGAGGCTGGTCAACAGGTCTTAGTTCACTGTGACTAGAGCCTACTTCTTTGCGATGGCTTACAGCTGTGCATTGCCAAGGAACATCCATTATGGTGGGGAAGCTTAGTTTTCTTACAGCCTGTGTAAAAAGAGGCAGGAAGGCTGCCGGAGAGGCTGGTCAACAGGTCTTAGAGTTCACTGTAACTAGAGCCTACTTCTTTGCTATGGCTTACAGCCGTGCATTGCCAAGGAACATCCATTATGGTGGGAAAATTACCTTTCAAGAGACTTGATTCCAGTCCAGTAGCACCTTAAAGACCGGCAAGATTTCCAGGGTAGAAGCTTTCAAGAATCAAATCTTCCTTCCGAAAAAACTTATACCCTAGAAAACTTGTTGGTCTTTAAGGTGCTACAGGACTCAGCCCTCGCTCTTCTAATGTAGACCAACACTAGGGTCGCCAAGTTGTTTCTTCGCCGCAGCGGGGGACTCCCGGGCGCCGCACACACGTCACCAGGAAGTGATGTTAGGACGCCGGGCACGCTGGGGGCGGGGCCACGACCATCGGAGGGGAAACCATAGAGTCCTGGTGACGCGCACATCGGGGTGGGGTTCCCCCCGGGGATTGCCAGCCCCCATGGCTCAAGATCTCCCGGGATTACAGCTGATCTCCAGCCAACAGAGAGAGCAGTTCACCTGGAGAAAATGGCCACTCTGGAAGATGGACTCTATGGCATTCTACCCCATCGAAGTCCCTCCTCTCCCCAAATCCCACTTTAGGCTTCACCTCCAAAATGTCCAGGTACTTCCCAACCCAGAGCTGGCCACCCTGTTGCACGACTGATTTCCAAACACAAGAAAAGTCTTAATTATACTATTCTGGAAATACTAAACCTAGATGTCCTGTTAGCACCTGAAATTTATCTATTAAATATAATTCCAAAAGGTTATGTAAAACAAGATGTATATTTATCAGTATACATTATAACAGCTGCGAGGATATTAGTGGCTAAAAATTGGAAATGGGATAGAACTCCCTCGAAAGAGGACCTAATAACAAAACTCCTCGAGTTAGCGCAAATGGATAATCTGAGTTTAATACTGCAGGATAAAGACCAAAATAATACAGGATAAAAGATGGTTAAGGGTTTATAACTGGATAAGGTAAAGGTAAAGGTTCCCTTGCTCGAAAGCCAGTCGAATCCGACTCTAGGGTTGCGGTGCTCATCTCCGTTACAAAGCCGAAGAGCCAGCGCTGTCCGAAGACGTTTCCGTGGTCATGTGGCCGGCATGACTAAACACCAAGGCGCACGGAACGCTGTTACCTTCCCACCGAAGTGGTCCCTATTTATCTACTTGCAATTTCTTGCTTTCGAACTGCTAGGTTGACAGGAGCTGGAACTAGAGACAGGAGCTCACCCTGTCTTGCGGCACCCGGGTCTTGAACCACTGAACTACTGACCTTCCACAGCCTGCAGTTCAGCGTCTTAACCACTTGAGCCACCGCAGCTCCACTTATAACTGGATAAAACATGTTTATAACTGGATAAAACATGTTAAATTATGATATGAAAAGGAAAAGAGAAAATAGCAAATAGTGGATATAAGGCATGTAAATGGATACAATGACTCTAAAGATTTGTGTAATCTGAGACAATGAAATGTTTGTAATTAAATTGAAATACTGGAAAATAAACTGTTTAAAAAAAGTCTTAATAAGCTATAATAATTCTCCAAGCTGCACTGCTCACGGTTCAGAAGCCACTGCAACATCTTAAGAGAATCAAAAACATTCACCTCCTCGGCATCTTCTCCGCCCAATGGAATCCATGCTAGTCGATAAAGGGCCACGTCAGAGGATGGTGGCTTCCAGTTTGCTCTAAAACTATCTGTGGATACTTCGTCGATTTCCAAGTACTGAGGGGCTGGAACTTTTTCTGCAAGACAGCATTGCAGAGGGAGAACCCTGTCAGAATTCTAGATGTCTCTACAAACATTAGCATCCAAGTAAGACTGTCACCTGATGAACGGCATCTTAATTGATTCATCACATGAGCTTTAATTGTTTTGTTATACTTGCAAATAGACGAAAATAGTTCCCAAGGAATAAAAAAAGCAAACTATGGCCCCAATCACACACACAATTTGCCATGGGATACTCACAAATGCTGGCCGGATTTTACTGGCACAATCAAATGGACACAGCTGGCCAGCGTCCCGCACCCGTCAGCAACCCGTAGCAGTCAGCAAAGAAGCGGGGTTTAAAAGTACCCGGGGAAAATCCGCTATCAACTGGTTGCGACAGCCTGCAGCCGGACGCTCTCCATGTGATCGCTCCAGCGCGCTCCTCTCGTGCCCCTGCTTCCTGGTTGGAGCACGCAGGAAACACCCACCGATGGAAAAAACGCCATCGCGTCTGATCACATTGGGGCATGTCAAATTGCGACGGTGCAAATCACCATGCCTCCCCCACCCCCGTTTTCTGGCATGTGTGACCAGGACCTAACTTTGTTTTCAGATGACAAACGTGCGTGTTTTAGCAGGCAGTCTCTTAGATGAGGCATTCCCTCATGTCATGGTGAGAAAGGGAATTCCTAAAGATGGTGTCCTCATGTCATGGTGAGAAAGGGAATTCCTCTTCTAAAGATGGTGCACTAACAGCTACAACTGCTGCTGCCATACGGTACAGCAAGATTCAAGCCGAGTGGCCCCTTAAAGACCAACAAGATTTTCACAGTATACGTTTATGAGAGTACTGTAGGAGTTGGAACTATGAACCATGAAATGCCCAGTCAAGATGCCACCTCTGCCATAAACTCAGAAAGGTGCCTTAAACAAGGTTGCTCTCCACCTTCGGAGCTGATCCAATGGAGATCATCATATTGACCTACTTTGCAAGGTAATCATAAGGATAATGGAGATGAAGTGACGTGATACCTCCAAAGCACAACACAAATGCTATACATTGTTATTATTATTAACCGGGGTTTGTGCATTTCTTCTTCTTTGCCTAAACATCTATAGGGCGGAGACTACCCACTGGGAGATTCATCTTTTCTTTTGACAGGAATCGGTTTGAAAGTTCTAATTTGCAGAAGAATGGTGCTTTGTGGTTCAAAAATCAGTGCAATCCCCCACCGGAAAGTTAACATTATTTAAATAAGCACTGAGTAGTTAGCTTCATCTACTCAATTTATTTAGTGCATTTGCAGAACTTGGCTTGCTTTCAACCATTCTGTGTTTTAATTTCTCTTTTTTCTTTCTGTGACAACTGCTTTTTTTTTTTAAATCCAGTTAAAGATTAGCTATTTCAAATACCCATTTGCATTTGCTTTAAGCACTAGGTAGCATCCAGACTGTCAGATGAATGAAAAAGAAAGAATTACACTCCTTGAATTTAAAAAAAAAAACCACAAAGGGAGATTAAGGTAGTTGCAACATTTTCCAGAAAAGTAAAGGAATATAATAGCCCTGCTTGGAAAGCCTTCCAAAATGCAGCCAGACTCACTCGTGGTGAAACTGCCAGTAAGTGGCTCAGACGGCCCCTCGTCATAGAGGGAGAAAATAGCAACGGTATACTCCGTGAGGGATGTCAAGCTCTTCAGCGTGTGGGTTGAAACATGACCAACCTCCTCCTGCAGAATAAAAGGGCACAGAGGATGAGAAACGATGTGACCCGAGTCCCGTGGCATACTCATTTGGCTTGCACTGTTTACTCCCAGAACTCAAAAGCTGAGTTTGTTTTGAGCAAGTGTCTCTTTAAGATCACTTTACTGCTCAAGGGGGAAAGTAAGAGTCTTGGATGAGAGCCTAAGATATACACTTTGGTGATCTGGCAAGAGCCCCGTTTTGAAACAATGTGCTTCCTCCCCTTTGACTACTCTGAACAGAAGGGGAGAGGAAGGGAAACCCCCCCCCCCCCAATCTGCCCTGTCCCACCCCACCTATCTAGCCTG